ATGTGTCATATGTCACTGCTGCAATGAGAATGGCATAATGATGTCACGTAGAGATAGCTACCATATCGTAGTGATTTCGCGTGAAATTTGTGTTCACTGTAAGTTTTTAGTTTAATTTTGGTATTTTCCTTATTAACGAGAGAGGTGCAGTCATCCATTTTCGAACCAAAAATTGATTTCCTGCTCATTTTCACACTGCATAAATTGTGCCTAAAAGGGATGGCAGAGTCGATCACAATTTTTTTTCCTCAAAATTTAATGCGTCTTTGATTTCTTTTCGAAAAACGTGAAAAGTATCAATTACATCCTCATAATCAAAAACATCACGTAGCTCAAAATATAGCAACAACTTTCTAACCTTAAGTCTTCTGCATCCGCCACGATCAGCACATGTAAAGCCATTACACAACGCTTAAACAAGTTCATTTCTGTCATTTTAAGTCATGTACTTCTCAAATACTGAAATATACCAATTATGAGATAAGACTGCAATAAAAAAAGCGAAGTGATCAACAGCAACTTAACATTTCCTAACTTAAAAATATTTACTTTTAGACTTTGCATTTTTCAATGTTTTTCTGCTCCTAAGCACAATCCTCATTTGATTATTCATTCGAATAGTGAATACCAAACTCCAAAAGTTCTTTAAGTTTTGGATCAACTTAAGTTAGAAAAACAAAATATAACAAAATTTTGCTACTTGATATACGTTTGCAGTGTTCTGACACTTGTTATTATTTCACTAGCACTTTACGTCCATTTCAAGTATAACTTCATATTTCTATTCTTCGTTTATATTTTTTTCATAACGGGGATTTTTGCTTTAAAAATGCGACTTGTTAATTGATAGTTTTTGCCAAAACTTTATGCAAATTAAATTTAATATGCATACTCTCAATGCTCTTAAATGAATGCTTCAATAATTTTTTTCGCTTAGTGAACGTTCCATTATTTTTTCAATACTTATGCTTTTTTACAAGCTTGCATATCGCTTCAAATTTTTGGTATAATATATAATAATTTAATAAAAAGTATTCGGCATTTACACACACCCACATTAACATATTTCTGCATTCATACATCCTTATATTCACATATTGCTGATGTGTGAATATGAGCATGTGTAAATCATCTATCTATTATCTCAATAATTACGTCAATATTATGGAACTTAAAAAACGTGAGTGAAACTAAAGCGATATCAAGATTTGAAAATTTTTCAAGTATCTGTACTGAAAAAGTGGTAGTCTTTTCTCAAATAATACATAAAAGTCAATAAGAATCAAAAAAATTCTAGAACTAAATTCTCCAATAATTCATTCATGAAATTCTTTTGATGAAAAAAGTAAGTACTTTCTGATAAAATCTCTCTCTATGCATACTATTATACATAAAGGGAACTTCTTCATTATTAGTCCTAGTGTGTTTTAAGCATCAGCAATCTCACTGACGTGATCTCCCATCTAATCTTCAATTAGCCACCAAAATTTCTACCGCTAAAGAAATAAGTTAAATATCTCATCATCTATACATTTTTTTACTAGTTCATTCCACAAAAATCAGCAAATAAATAAACAAGTGAATGAAACTCCTCAATAGTTTGAGAATAGAATCACCGATTATGATAAATTAACTGAATAATAGGGAAATCAATTACTATTCACTATTCTTAATAACATAGCATGATGCACTATTGTAATGAATTTAAGAATTTTTTTTTTCACAAAAATGTAAAAGTAAACAGACATTCAAGCAGTCAGCGGTAGGCTAAATTATGCAGTAGCGTACTATTTTAGAACTTCCCTCACTAGCTTATTTTCACAACTTCATCAAGAAACTTATACCTGTTTTCCATATACCTTCCTTCATTACTGCATTATTCACTTCACTGCTACTATTTATAAATGCGCAAAGAAATCAAAACTAATTTGAAATTACTCACGTCTTCTTTGCACAAATGCCCATATAGAAGAAGTATTGTCACCATTCCCTCCATGGCCGCTAAATTACAAAGCATGCATAGTTTTGCAGTGTTAATTTTTCCATCTTCAGAATCTTCTACCAAAAACATTTTCCGCTCAAAATCACTAACATCACAAGAAATGTGTGCTGACTACTTTCCTATAGTACTCTTCATTTGAAAGTTGTTCGCAAACTTAATGCTCACCTGCCTTCGTCCTGTTAAAGATACTGCTACACTTTGCATGACTTTTCCTAAATAATGCTAATACAACTCTTTCTAATTAATGAAATTCCAATTCCATGTACTTTGAAACAACCATACTTCTAGCTTCTTTAATTATTGCGAACCAGATCGAGATCTTTATAAGCAATTTCAAATGGATCAATACTGGACCCACCTTTCCCATCTCATAAATATAGCCATTTTGTGTGGACATAGCAGATTTCACCATAACTAAGAAATGTTACCACATCATTAATCCTTCAGTACCTGATTTCACATTTCTATCACCTTTTGCTTCATAAATCACACTTACACTGAATAATACCAAAAAGTGCACAATGAAATACGACAGCCGCCACGATCATCTCGTACTTTTAATATGAAATTGTGACCACATCTCTAACTCCAAGCCACTCCACTAGTATTCCCCACAAACTTAGTAACTGTATTGCACTGATACACAATAACACAAAATGCACCTCCATGCTGTTCACTTCCGTTGTGTATTCACATTTATCAATTCGCCAAAACTAATAAATGTCATCAGATTTGCAGAAAAATACACTCACCATCCATATCATTTCTACCTCATCCTTCAACATACAACATACTGATTCAGACAGCCAAAAAACATTCAACCACCTCGATGAAGTTTAAGCCCACAGAGATATGCAAAAAAGTACCTCCCCCCGACAGTTTTAGACTCATAAATACAAAATTGCCAGAGTATTCCTCATACTAAATGACGCAAAGTATTTAATCTTTCACAAGCGCTCCACTTTTCTGTGCTGTCTTTCTCCTTGCAGTAATACATGGTTTTTTCTTCGACATATTTCATCTGTAGAAACAAACATGAACTATTTCCACGAACGTTTTTTCCAAAACTATATTTATCATAAAACAGACATACCAACCTAGTTTGAATTAGAGACCATTTTATAGGGACCAACACCAAAATAATTAGAAACTGCCAGCTGCATTACATGCATATGCAATACTAGAAGTTTTATCGAGGAAAATCTTTTCATCCTTCACACAACATGGAAACAAAATATTGCCCCCAAAAAAAAAACATATATTTTTAAATTTAACATTTTATTGAATTAAACTGGATTTCCAAAACTTTTCTTAACATTTACTAGTTTAAGATTCATTAGTTTAAAGAGCTTTTAAGCTTCAGGCAAAAGCTCAAAGCTTCTAAATTAATGAATATTTGAGCCATAACAAACTTGATAATCCTTTGGAACTTAATTAAATAAAAAAATGAGACAAACAATAAAAAATGAAAATACATGAGCTGAAGAACAGCAAAATCATCACAAAACTGTAGTCAGCATTTTCAAGCTGCTATTCCAATCAAAACTAGCTAGCAAAAAAAAAAACCAATGAAATCTTCAGAAACTGAGGTATTTCCAAAATAAGCTAAAATTGCTTACTTCAGTGGATTCAAGTGTGTTATTATTTCATCTGATAAATTAAGAGGACCTGGAAATATCCCACCATTTCAGAGAAAACAAATTGAAAACATGTAGAAGATAGTTAGAAAAGACACAAAATGTGAAGGAAAACTTCTACTAACATCACATATCTAATAACTGAATAGATCTAGTAAAAATAAGCTCTGGCAGGGAAAATTTTTTTCATACTAACACAACAATGCAATTACATAACATGGTAGCATAAATAAACAAGAAAACGGAATTATGAGATTCACTGATAGTTAATACAAACATAAATCATTTTATACTTAAGTTGAACTTACAAATTGATATAACACATCTGCTATGTTTAAAAACAATGACAAACATCAAATTTGTAAGAAGAATAAACACCAGAGTAAAAACACCACCATTAAAAAACACGCATCTCAGAATCCATTTCACTCTTATCATGCTTATTTTTTGAAACAATCAAAAATACAATAAGTATCAAGACATCAAAAAAATTATACAAATCAAAGAAGTACTTTACATACTTCATTAATCAAAAAAAAAAAAAAAAA